ATATATATATATATATATATATATATATATATATATAGTATTTATGATTTTCAGCATGCAATTTTATCTGTAAAAACAAAGCAACTGTACTTGTTGTAATTACTTCCGTGCTGTTTTCATCACATATTTTAAAGTCTGTTTGATAATCTCTTCCAGTCAGTATTGCATCTACAGAGTGACACAGTTGCAAATTCCCATAATTCTGTTAGAAGGACCTCAGCTGTGCAGGGAATCAGAGACGCTTCACCTCCTGCGCAAGACTGTTCCACTGCACAAGTAAGATTTTGTTTGGTTCAGTACTGTAATCTACTGAAGTTACGTCCAACCATGGATTAATATCAAACCTGCAGTTCCAATTTTTCACAACATTTAAGCAGTTTTTATTCATATTGTGTTTTTCACAAGGCAACTGAATGCAAAGGCTCAAAGAAGAAACAGCGCAATGCTGCCAAAACAAAGATTCAGTTGGATGTGCGAGGAAGTCAAAAAGGTAAGGATAGAGTTTTATGTACTTTCAGTGTTTTTTTATTTTATAATTTATTATTATTTTTACAATTTAAAATGTTTTTGGGTCAAACCTTTGGTCAAGTATTGATATATGATCAACTACTAGTAATTTCCCTGTGCTGACAAGGACAGACATTATTGAAATCATTAACAACGTGCATTCTCTGTCTGCATCAGCTGTAAAAACTCTGCACATGTTAAAAAGACAAATTATCAAACTGTTAAGTCAAAATGAACAGTTCTTAAAAGTGAACTGATAAACTAGAACAATGTTGTGGCTATAGTAATCATAGAGTGTGACATGTAATTTTAAGAAATATTTTTAATTGAATCTAAATGTTGTCTTAAATCTAAGAATATAGAATATATATTACAAAGAGTTGAAGTTGTTTCCTCAGGTTGCCACCATCTGTTTCCACCATATATTTTTCACATTTAAATTAACTACTCCATATAAAAAAAACAACATGGTCAAAATGACATCAACAATCTGAAAATTGAACTGAATTAAACGACACGTTAAAACATCATCTTTTTATGCCTCTGTCTTATGTTTTGTGTCAGAAGGGGATGATCTTAGTTTCCTCTACCATGATTTTATTTAGAAAACAGCCGATAATTGAAAAGAGGAAATGTGTATTTGTAGAAATGTGCAGAGTGTCCTGAGTGCGAGGCTTATAATGTCAAATTAAACTGTAAAACTGTCAACACTATTACTTTTCTGAGGACATATTAAAATGTGTGTAGCTCGGTTGGAATGGCAAAGTGCAATTTATTTACAGTTACACATTGTTTGAACAGAACAGAATGTTTAAAAGTCTAAAAATATAGCCTTTTCAAACTAGAAACGTTTTCTGGCTGCAAAGTTATGAGCTGTGACAAGTGTTATTTATCTAAGCCATTATATATATATACATACACACGTATGTGACGCCAACAGCTACAGCACTGCAGCTTTTTATGCTCCAGTTGTTGTTGTTGTTTGAGTAGTTGA